GTTTCTGAATCAGCCGTTCTGGTTTCTGAATCAGTCGTTCTGGTTGCCGAATATTCCGCCGACGGGACGTTTTGGGAGAGACAAAGAAGCAGACTTTGTCTGTAAGCCCTGCCATGTCTGCGCAGAAGCCCCAATGTTTCGCTCGAGTTCGGAGCAGCTGTGACGCGAAAGAAGCGCAGTCCACGCCCAGGGCCGCGGCGAAGTCGCCCTTCGATCAGGCGCCTCTCAGTCTCGGGGTGACCCCCGATGCACCCCTGGTGGGAAATTGCTTTTCACAGCATGACTTTCAGAGGTCCCAAAGGCCGTTAGCCTGGATCCATTGCTCAACGACCAGCTCAGCTCCATGGGGCAGGAGGCGGAGCGGAGCCCGCGAGCACTTGTGCACAAGTTCCAAGCCTGGCAGATCAGCCACCTGCTGCTGCGTGCGGGGCCCGCCAAAGATTTCGAGGCCCGCGAGTTTCGGAGGGCTTCTAATTCCGGCCCTGGCTTCTGACTAAAGTCTTTGAGGAGATGGTGCCGGACACAGGTCCGTCATTTCACGGTCCGAAGAACTCGACCGGGGCTTTGTGAAGAGAGTGACGGATTTTTTGCAGGGAATCCGAAGAGCATGGGTTGTGCATACAGTAGTCAGCTAACCTTTGGGAAGCTTGCACATTGCTTTGTTTCTCTGCAGCTCCTCGAAGCACCTGGCCGAGATCCAGCTCCCTCACCACAGCGGAGGCACGTCAGCCATGACAGTGGTGTTGCACATGCCAAGGGCCTTTTTGTGCCAGTGGTTTTCTATCTGCTCTTAATGGGTGACGGTGCGACTCCATGAGACGGAGGGCCAAGTTGCAGGATCCCTGGCTCATGTCCGCAAGCTGCAAGCAAAGTTTAACTTCGAACCCTGAAAGATGCGCATCCGGAGGCTCTTCCTCCCCTTCAGCAGTCCGCCGCCGGAGACGCGGCAGCCCAAGGCAGCTTCGGGCGCTTTCCGCTTCCACGCTTCGCGACCTTGAAATCGCACAGAAAGCCTTTGTCAAGGGGACTCCGAGCCTGCAGTCTGCAGTCCCGAAGTCGCAGGCAGTTTCCTTCAGTGGAGCGAAAGTCCATGCACCTTGGCCAATCGATTTTACTAGGGGTCTTGTTGCGCTCCTCAGAGTCGGGGTGCCACTCCTACTGGTAGTTGTGCATCACTTCGTGTCTCGGGCTTCTGTAGATGTCACCGCAACTTGCCGAGCTCTGACCTGATGCAACGGATGTACTCTGGCATGCCGTAGCAGCATGTTTGGTGCAGTCATGGCAGCGGAGTCACCTGACCTGCACCGTTGGCGATTTGACAGCCTGCCCGTGTCAAACTGCCACGCACTGGACAGCAGGTAAGCAATGGCCCCACCATCGGTTTGGTCTTCGATTCCACCTCCGTCTGCCAATGCAGAGTCCAGAATCCCACCCAACCTGGTGATGCCGATGGCAGCCAAGGCACCACCAGTGCCAGCGCAGCCCCATGCAGCTGCAAAGGCCATGTTCTGTCTTTCGAGAGAAGCTTCAAAGCATTTCATGAAGACTTGGCGGACATGTAGTTTCATGTCAAGTGTTATGCGAGAGATTCGAGCGTCATGCACACTTTCGGTTCGCGTGCTTTGTGAGGTGCGTGGAATTTAGAGCAGTTCAGCGAATGGGTTTAGACGCATCAGCTTTTAACGTCTGAGATTCGGTAGCCTTCTTCACCTGACCCGAGATGCTGTCAGAGCAGAAGGATCTATACAGCTTCTGAGTGACTACTCCCTTTCTGACCTGAAGCCCGCGGCTTGCCGCCAGCTTGAAAGCTGTGCGGACGTCGCAGGTGCAGCCCGGGATGTGCAGCCGGAGCCTCAGACGCGAGCTTAGGAGCCGTGCAGAGAGCTGAGAGCCACATGAGCCACGCACCTCAGCGCCGTTCTCTGCGCTCTTAGCCGCTTAGCGCAAAAGACATGGGGCACGGCACGGCACGGCTTTGAAGCCGAGCGCGCAGGCCGCTGCCCGGTGCTGAACCTCCAGGTGCATAGGGGAGGGCCGGGCCCGGCCCACGATGCGTCCCCGCAAAATGCTCAACAGCTCCGTCTTCTTGGGACTCTCTTTGCTCTACTTGGTCGGATTCAGGCCCTGGCCAAAAACAAGCCTTGCAAAGCTCGCGCAAGCTTGAAACTTCACCGAGACTTTAGTTGACAAGAGCCCAAGATCCAAGAGCCTTCCGGGAGCTTCACTGAGGGCTCTTTAGTCTTCCAAGAGCGCTTCGGCGGCATCACGGTGCCGGCGCCCCTCGCAGGTCCGAGCGTTGAGCCAGTCTCTGGCAGGACTGGGTGCGAAGACTTTCAACTGGCCGGGGAGCTTAAGTCTGTCAGTTTGGCATGTCCTGCTAGCTGCGCCCCGACACCAGTCTGGTCTCAACAGTTTTGCGCACTGCAGCCATCAGTCAAGCTCATACGATCTACTTGCTCTTTGCTGCGTGTCAACGCGGCAACAGCCATGCAGCGTTTCTCTGCCTGTTCATGGTTTCGAGCGTCCTGGCCACGGCGGCGTGTCAGAGCTCAACGAGGCAAGCGGCTGTGCGATCCAGACTCTCCCTAGCCCCAAGCTTGCCGCCTGCACACCACTCAAAAGTTGATTAAACTCTTTCAAACAGATCTTGACAGGTGTGCCGCTGAGATGGAGGAGCAGGCGCTCTTGGCAATTGCCCTACAACCAAAGTCTGGAGGTCCAATGAAGAAGTGGTTCTGGCGCCCCTTCGAGCGCACGAGCTTCAAGCACCACGGATACTATGGCCAGTCGACGCCTCCTTGCATTGACACCGAGCGCGACGTGGTGTTCTCATGTGTTCTCGTTCATTGCCAAGCTCCCGGCCCGCGACCCAGTGATATAGCCTGGTCTGCATTCCAGTATAGAGTCGGGCCGTACAGCTTGATTGAAGAGTAACAAGGAGTTCAGGGTCATGAAATCACCACGCTGCCGCCTTTACTTTGCGCATATCCAAATTACGTATCATGTGCTGTGCAGTTTCTGATTCCTGCTCTGCACAGAATGCCATCGTTCAGTTCTACGTGAACCGAGACATTGAAAAATGCGTCCATGTACTCACTGAACATCGGTGGCAGCAACGTTACCTTTGCTTTCCCAGCGGAGTCCTACGAAGCCGGCTCGCTGCTGAACATGGGTCTCCCCGGGGATGCGGCTGAGTTCGAAGAAGTTTGGTACCCGGCAAACTTCACTGTGGAGATTGAGCCGGATGGAGACACCATGGACTGCACACTGCTCCTGAAGAAAGGGATGGACACGGTGGATGAGTGGAATGGCCCTGTGGTGGCTACCGAGGACGAGACGTACCCTCTGCGCGTGGTGGTAGACTGAGGCAGGAGAATCCGAACAACAAAAGCCTAGAGCTCCTTTCCTCACCTTTAGTGAGTTTAGCGTCAAGCTCTTGCTTACCGCTGCGAGGCCATCTTTGACGACACTCCCGAGGATGGCTGGCTTGCCTTCTCTCCAATCGCAGACTTCTGTCAAGACGAAGGCTACATCCCAACCACCGTGCGAGAGCAGTGATAGTAAGCTTGAGGCAGGGGTTGCAGAGCTTTTCGCACATTTGGGCTTGCTTGGAGAGTTTTGTTGATCCTGTTCGGGTTCCCTGACAGGGCTTTAAACCGAAGCGGCAGTGTCAAAGACACAGCCTCCGCCCGGCAAGACCTGGGTTTGTTGGTTCAAAAAGAGACAGGGTGATGATGATAGCGATGATGATAAAATGCGATAATGATTCACAATGATGCTTCTGTGGTCGTTTTGTCGAAGGCACGGCGTGAAGAGAAGTTGTTGTTGTTCATGGCGATGATGATGATGATGATGATGAGGATGATGAGGGTGATGAGGATGAGGATGACGAGCTGGGAATAGGTGACTGGGAATATGGTGACACTGGCGTTCTCTCGATCATTTGGATGGTCCTCGACTTGGCCGTGATGCTCCGGGTTGCTGAAAGCACTGGTCGTAGTCATGGTACATGGCTGGCGACGGGGTGGGCAGAGTGAAGGGTTTGATGTGCGGTGACGATGGTCTTCTTGGTGACGGTGATTGTCGACGACGGTGCAAGCTAGCACACTTAAGACACAGCCATGGGAGAGCCTTCCGAGGTCCTCGGGCCTCAGCAAGCTCCAACGCAGGGATCTCGCCGAGGTGGTCTTGGAGTACTGCAGGCCAGGCTGCGAGGGTCCCATAGCCACCGTGCGAGCCCACTCTCTGCTTGGAGGCCCTGCGCCCATTTGGATCCCACGCTCGAGGCCGCGAGCCGCTGCACTGACGTCTGCATGAGGGAAGAGCTTGTGAGTTTCTGCCATGCTACCCGGAGATGATAAGGATGATGGCGGCTCATGACGAAGAGTCTCGGATCGCGAAATGCAGCACTCCGACCGCCTTCCAAGCCATGCTCTACTCCCCAGTCCCCACAGAACCGCCATTGGAATTTTCACATACCTTGCTCACCGCATCTTCGTAGGACTTGTGCATCGACCTTGAGCAGATCCAGTGGGCTGAGGTCTGGAGGTAGTCGAAGCCGGGATATCTCGGCACTGTTGAGCCAGCAAGCATCAGGGCATCAGGGCTGTAGCAAGTTCAATTGCGCTTCTCGCAGATCCCTTTCTGGCACCGACGGCAGCTGCAGACTCGGGTAGTACTTGGCTTCGGCGTCCAGGTGTCCGTGGCCCCGGCAGCAGTGGGTCGGGAGGCCGCCACTTCTTCGAGCCGTCGTGAGAGCCCCCCGGCACGTGACACGCGGCTGCCCCGCAGGCGCCTCCGCCGGCCTGGCTCACAAAGGCTCCCGTGTCCGGGGAGGCGGGGTCGTCGGTGAAGAACCCACAGGCAATCGGCGGCCGTGAGAAAGTCTCGCAAACGATGCCGCATTGCTTCGGGCTGAACCATACTCAACACTTCACCTCGTGACTCACGCATCAGTGGGTCTGTCTGTTTTCTTCAGCATCTTGTGTCCAAGCAAGGTCAGTGCTGAGGCTCAGGCACCCAAGCATCCTCCATGTGCAACCACCAGAAGGGTCTAAAGTCGACAGGAGCTGTGTCGGCCAGTGGTGGAGGCCACGCCGAGGCCTCACGTTGCTCGCTTCTTTGATGGACGGCACTTGGCATCCTGCGGGTGACCCGGGTATGGAGTTTACGTCAACTTCCAGCCTTGCAAGGGACGAACTTCGTCGGCATAGCTCGCCTCCTAGCCGTGAGCCAAGCAGAACAGGAGTGACTATTGGAATTTCAAGGCTTGATGATTCAGCGATTTCAGTCATAAAGTGCACATTCTGTTAAGGCCCCGTCAAGTGTTTCTACATGCAAAGGACGATGTAATGGCGCTGCACGAAAGTTGAAGCTTCCTATGCATCACCTATTGGCCCATTCAGTTTTGCGTACAGCCTAAGAGAGCCTGCCTCTTCGGTTTCCCTGAGCAGACAGCAAGAGTCACACGACTGTGAATCGTGATGTGCCAAAGCTGTGACGAGTGGCTGGTCCTGCTTCCGCCTTGTGGCGATCTTCTCTTGGACCCTCGAGGTTCTCCGCTTCGGGAAGCAGTGCCCTGCCAGACACAGGCGGAGACGACGCCGAGGCTTCCCCTGTCTGTCCACGTATCATGCTTGTTCGGCTTGGAGCTGACACCGCAACAGGGAGCGATGCGACGAGCCGGCTTCGCCGAAGGAGAGCTCGGACAGAGTTCCCCGTCCGGATGGGGACCCCTTGAAAGGGACGCTCCTTCAGGAACCCAGGAACCGGTACGTCTGTCAATACTTTGTGATTGTGAGGCATCCTTCAACAATCCCTTTCAGGAGCCTCTAGCAAGCCCTCACTAAGGAAACCCTTAAAGGGGAACCTCCCTCCCTCAAGAAGCGCTCTCTGTGTTTGCTCCTTGCAGAACGAAACCTCATTTCATTGCTCAGCCAACCACCTTCGTGGTTTCCAAGTTGCATTCATGAGAGTCCATCGCCATGCCAGCAGTGGCGTTGATTGTACTAGGGTTGGCATCCAAGCTTTAGATTCTTGGCATCCTAGCCGCTCGCCGACTCGAAGCATTGCAAGTTCCGGTCGTGGGAGAGCTGTGCCGGAGGAAGCCAAGCCTCTCCCAAGCATCGGCCCCTTCGCGAGGACTCGCCCGAGGATCCGCTGAAAGCGCAGCATATGCGGCCCGACGAGGCGACGCCTTGAAGCCTCAACCAAGGATGGCTGATGCCAAGCTCCAGTCTGGCGCAGGCACACGGCCGCGTGCAGGAGCTGCTGCAGCAGCGGCTCCAGCAGATTCTCCAAAGAGGCCAGGGAACGAACACGAATTTCGCTTCCGGAATTTCGGTGCTTCTGTTTTCAAGTCGGTCCAGGGCAGCAAGAGCGCCTGGATGTAGCGAAGCTCCAGGAGCCACTCGGCTGTGCACCGTCCTTCATTGTTGGGGTTCCTGGCTGCGCCCTGACTTTGGGTCTAAACTTCCAGAACGGGCACATGCGCCGGGAAATTGCATGGCAGACTTTGGTTCTGCCTCCAGATCCCGCTGAGCCGACGTCATCCTCAGCCTTCTATCTCTTAGTACGGCACTCAAAGGACGTATCAAGAATCTAGCTTACGCCAGTTCAGATGCTACGATGTCTCGTCGTCCCGACCCGAAGCCAAAGTCGCACAGGAAAGTGATATGAAACAGCCTCCATGCCTGTCTTTCAAACCACTCCCTCGGGCTTCCTGCGCTTCTCCCCGAATGCAAACGAGCACTTCTAGGCTTCAGCAGCTTCTTGTTGGCCTGGGACAGTGCGCGGACACGCTGGGGAGCTCAGATATCTCAGATGTCTTTCCTGCCACCTTCTTCAGGTCCCTAAGCGCGAACCCCCCTTGCAAATGAAATGCTTTCCATGGATCCCAGCTCGGGCCAGTTGCGGCTCACTGCTTAACATGCCAGACTCTTGATCCCAGCACGCTACTTGCAGGGAAGCAAAAGCTCGGAGCCTGCCGACAGCGCGGCTTATGCCCAGGCACTTTGTGCACGGTCCTCCAACTCTACGCAAAGAAACAGAGGGCTGACGAGCGTTGACATACCTTAGCTGCTTAGCTACAATCCTATAATCCTGCCTTTTTTCAAGAATTGGTGCTGTCGTATTGTACTTGTATTGGTGAAGGGTATGCAAAGCTGAGGCAAGCCCTTCCGCAGTCACCCCGTTGGTCGCAGCAGTCACCGCGCTCGCCCATGTCACCCTCCCGGCAGGAGCCACCACGTGAAGAGGTCTGTGCCGTATGCTCTTGTGGGTCTAGAGGATGAAACCCCCCAGCTCAACACCCTCAAAGCGCGGTCCGAAACCCCGCGCATGCACGGCAGAGCAGGAGCCGCCGCCGGCGTGCCCTCAGCAGCCCTCGACGCCACGGCCTGCGACGCCGCCTTCAGCTCCCCGCCACAATGGGCTGCCACTGCTGGTGCCCAGGCGGCTGTGGGTTTGGGAAGAAGAGGGAGAGCCTGAATTTCTGGAGCACTCCTGGGCCAGAGAGCTGTGTAACGAAACGGGTGCAGCGCAGCGAGCAATAATGATGTGCAGCGTTGCTTCTTCTGTCCGGAAGAAGCAATTGAAACGTGCTGCATGCAACGGATGGGACTGGATGGCATTGTAGTGAGCCTTTGCGAAGCTTCCTTTCCTTCCAACCTGCCTTGTTTTCTCCGTGCAGGCAACAGGACCTTCCCCCGCGACATCCTCCGCACCTACAGGCCCTGCAATGCAGTGCACGGGCCACGCATGTTTCAAGGCGAAGTGGAGGTCACTCCGAGTCGGACTCGACAGCTTGAGAGAGAGAGAGAGAGAGTGCTTCAAATGACAGGGCCCAGTCTCTCCCGCAGCCGCTTACGGGCCAACGCGGCAGCGACAGGCGGGATACTTCATCGACCCGATTTCTCCAGCCATGGGAATTGAAACGCCATACATGTGAACTCCTCGGCGCTTTCTGTCCACAACCTGTTCAGGCCACTCCCCCCGCTGAACGTCCTTCAACGCCCTCGACACCTCCGCGGGTGGCTGAAATTAGACTCGTGTTGTCTTTGGCATCGCACTTGGGCTTCAGGCGAGCCTAAGCTGTTCCAGTCTCCTGTCGTCTTGTTGCCTTTCGATGCCGTGGCCTGTCAATTCGGTGCGTAGAATCGTACGTAGAAGTATCTGCCCGTTTTACACGGCTTCTGCCGGACCCAATCTCATTCCCAAGATCCGAAGCACCCGGGAAGCAAATACTCAGCCCGAAATCCTGAATGGTAGTAATGTTAAATGCTTCGCGTCGTCCGCCTCGGCCCGGCTGTACTTGAAGCAGGTGCATTGTTTCGGAAAGCAACAGGTAGGTCACACAGGTGAGGTCTTGCGTGAAAGAGTGAATTTGCTTCAGAACTTGCTTTGAATGTCATTGTTTGCTTTCATGCTGAGGCTCTGAGCAATAATCCCACGCGAAAGGTGGCACATTCCCTGCATTATCCTATATAGACGTTACTCTAAAAGCATATTGCACTTCTCACTACAACCTCCCATATGTTCAAGGGGAATGGGGAATCAAGCTTTGCAACAAAGTATACCAGAATTTCCAGGCTTTGGCATCAACTTCACGAATGAT